TTCTGGTACAGATAATCCTCGATCTGCATCTTCCAGAAGCCAAAGTCCGCACCGTCAAACTTTTCAATTTTCATTTTTCCTTCGTCTGCAACCATCACTTCAACTCTGATCTGACTTCACTGCCGGATCGTTTCTGATAATTTTTGTGAACGACCGTGTTTCAAAAAACACGTCGGTGAATAAATTGTAGCACCGACAAAATTGGCACTATTCACGTTTTTCAACGGAATAGTAACACCACACAAAAATACAGAATTAACAATCTGGCTCTGATACCAGTTGTTGGGAATAATACGCTGAAATTTCCATGAAGTCGGATTTATAAAAGTGAAATAAAAAATAAAAATTGGACACACTAGTTTGATAACGGAGTTCAACCAATAATGTCTACGTCTCCGGACTACTGCAGATATTTTATTAGGAGGAAAAAATACACTCGTGTTTACAAAACACTCTCAACCTCACTCACAACTCACAACTCAAATACACACAGAAGCTAAATTCTTGCTTCTTGCTCACACCCTTTTTTCTCTCTTTTTTTTTTTCTCTCGTTCTTGGTGTTTTTCTTTTTGGTTGTGGTGTCTTTGCTTCATCATTTTTCCCCATATTTATAGATGGGGATTGCACATAATTTTCCACATTTGTGTACTGATTTTTTTCAACAAAAAACAGCACCTCCGGTTGTTACAATTTTCAAACAATTGGGCTGCTTCTTTTTTTATTCCATTGTGTGCTGTCAAAAGAAAGTTGGCGCAGCCCCTTCTTTGACTCAACATCGCTCACGTCTCTCTTTAAATCTCGACCGAGGAGAATGGTTCAACATAAGAAATCATCCCATCTTCTCTCACGTTAACAGCATCCTGCTCTAAAAATTAAAAAAAAAAAGTTTCAGTCGCACCTTTCATCTCCGGCGACCACCCTTCATCCTCGAGCAGTCCTCTCGCTGCCGTTCCCCGAGCTTCTAGTAGCAGGCCGAATCGAGCAGCTTCTGTCCGCCATTCTTTCCGGCCGGACCCTGTTCGCCGGCATTCCTAGTTCCGAGCAGACCGATCGCCGTTGAGCCTCTGTCCATGTCCAGACGTCCGTAAGCAGTTCCGGTGTTCGACAGTTCGAGTTTCGAGTCCTTGTTTGTCCGATCGTTGGGCCCCGTTCGTCTTTCCAACCAAGCGTAAAATCCAGAAGAGAGGTAATCGTCGAACATCCTCATTCTATTTTCGTACTCGAATATTATCGGTGGATCTATCTTGTCCTTGGAATCTAGTCTTGTTGACTTTCGGAGTATTTTCGGTTCGTTCGTAAAGTTCGATTGTGGTCTCTTTGTTGATTGCTGTTATTTTCGGAGTCTCGTGTTACCGCTTTGAGCCCTGAGTCTGTTTGGTTGCGAAACCATATGTCGTTTCGTTCTCGAACCATTTAATTTCGATATTTATAAACTTTTCGAAACTCAGAAAATTCATTTTCATGTTTAGAATTTTTTTTCTGGTATTGTTAGAATCTTAGACGGGTTGAAGTTCTGTTGCCGGAAGTTTTCCCTGTTTCGTGCAGATGGGTATTTTTTGTCCCTTTCTTGTCCTTCCCGCCGAAATACTGTTCGCAGACCAAGGGGATTTTCCCATAATATGCAGCCCAGGCTTTGTTTCTTTTAAAATCCCAGCCCAATCCTTTTAAAAATACCAGCCCGCACTAAGCCTGCCCGCGGCCCGATCACACATCCAGCAGTCAAGGCCCGCGAGCCCGCGTCACGGCCCGCGAAGGGCCCGAATTTTCAGGCAGCAAGTGCAGTGTGTTGGCAGGCCCAAAATGCGCATGTCCTCGGCCCATTTCTCCCCTTTGTGGTCCATTTCGTGTGTAAATGACCCAGCAGCTTGTGGGCTCCTAGCAAGTGCGGCCTTTTCGGCCTATTTTTGAGTTCCGACAGCCGTTTTCATACCTATTTTAATTTTAAAAATATTTTTCAAATGAGGAAAATTGGAAAAAATTATTTTAAGTCCCGAGACTCCATTTTGTTCCCCGAGCCTTAAATTCTTTATAAATGTTGAGAGTTCCAAGTCCACGATAAAATCCCTTAACTGTCGATTTTTGATTAAGTGTGATTTTATGTTGATTCCGAGTAGTGAGATAAATTATTGATTATTATCTCGCTTAAATATAGGTGTTTGAGGCGTCGAGCTCTCGACCTACTTACCTGCTATTTCAGTGTGATATTCTACCTCGATTAACATGTAGGTTTTTAATTAAATTGCTATGCAATAAATTTTGTACTTTACGTGTGGTATGATCAATGTATGCATATAAACCATGTAGCATTCGATGTGAGCTGTACTGGCCGTCGAACGGTTATCTCCGTAGCTATAGAACGTACCCGTTGGGTAATCTCCTTTGAGGATTTACTCCTACTGGCTTGGGCACCGATAGAAGCCCGAGGAGCATTCAGTATTTTACCCCGCAGTAGTCTATGCGTAGGTGTGCACACGAGTTTTGAGTTTATGACGATATTATGACGATCTTATGACGATATTATGACAGGAGATTGGGATAATAAATTGATTCTTATACATGCTGCGATCATACTGTTTTTTATAAATTGAATATTGTTTATTGCATAGTGTGGGCACTATGATTTCCATATGTGCTCACTCCCATCTGAAATTAACGTTTCAGGTTAAACAAGGCAGGCACGACGGCGAAGGAAAGCCAGTGGTGGTCGGTCTACGAGACCGGTTTATTAATTGTTGCTTCCGCTTTTTGAACCACTTTATGATTTATGAATTTTATGAACTTGGGAGATTATTGAATTTATGATTTGAAATTTTATGAATTTATGGATATTATGACGATTGAAATAAGGTTAGGGAGATGCCCCTTTGATAGTAATGATTTTATGGAAACCCGGTTTTGGTAATTGATAAATTTATGGGATCCCGATTTGGGAGTTGGATGATGGATAATTTATGAGTTGATATTATGTCATGGAAATGATTGGAAATAAATGAGTAACGCCACAATTGTTTAAAATGAATTTTGAAAAATTTAATCTGATTTTTTTCTAAAAGTCCGAAATTTTTTTAAAATCAAAGTGGGGCGTTACAGTCCCAATTCAAGTGCCCATTTGACAATATGCCCCGAGGTTTAGGGATGATGCATTACTTGTTTTATTGGGTAGCTCGTCAAGACGCGAATAGAATATTTAAGAAAGTAAGGGCGAAGTTGTATTGACGAGATAATTAAAGCATAGAAAACATTTTCCATTAGTGTATACCTTAGCTCAGCCTAATGTAGCACATGGCTCGTTAAAAAGACCGGACGTTGGATTCCTAAATCGTCTCGTACTAATGTGAAGCTAATCGTCTTATTTGATATGACCAAGTAAAGATAGAGAGTTTTTGCATGATCGAGCTTTTGCAGGACCAATAAAGATTGTAGAAGGTTCTTCATACCTTCAATGGTATTCTGACATTCTTGGTTCCACTCGAATTGTCGGTCTTTCTTGATCTCCTAAAAAAGGGGCGACGCCAATTGGTTGAATTGGAAATGAATCTATCTAAAATGGCTAGGCGGTCGGTGAGGCTTTGAACCTATTTTTATCGAAGTTTGGTGTACCAGAAAGCCTAAAATTATTTTAAATCCTACATTGAATGTACATTTTTGGGGGTTTAGCGTCATCGATTACCACGAAAAATCGTAAATATGTTATTTAGGTGGGATACATGATCACGAGCATACAAAGGGTTCACTACCTCATCGACATATACTTCTTACTATCACCAATCAGCTCGACAAACATTTTATTTACAAGTCTCTGATAGGTGTTTACGGCATTTCTCAACCTAAACATCATCATCTTATGATAATATAAGCCACAGCAGAGTAAAATGCCATATGTTCTTGATTGTCTGGGTGCATGGTTATTTGGTTGTACCCCGAGTAGGGGTTCATAAAGCTCATGAGTTTGTGGTCAGACGTAGCATCAACCATGTGGTTCATATGAGAGAGATGGTAGCTATCTTTAGGGCATGCAAGGTTGATATTGGTGAAGTTGATGCATAACCGTCATTGTCCATTTTTACAAGCACGGGGTTGGAGACCTATTCAGGATAGTGGGCCTCGCAGATGAATTTAGAGAAAAGTGCATTTTTCGTCCTGTAAGTTTACCCCTCTGAACAATTTAGTCCTCTTCGAATAGACAATTTGAATTTCGTCCTCTAACTTTTAAAAAAGGTTGCAGATTCGTCCCCGACTCGCTGGAAACCCGTTAATTTCTCGGAAACACGCACGTGATGGAAATTAACGGCTCTTTCGGTCTACGTGAAGCCGGATTTCACACGCTGGTGACCTCAGTTACACGTGGCGGCAGAATTGAAAAGAAAAAAATATTTCCACGCATCTACACACGTGGAAACAAAATGTTGATAAAATGAATCGGACCTACTGTTTTTGAATCATTCCCATCTTCCTTCAACCCTAATTTCCCAAATCACAAGATCCCCAAATCTTCAAGAACCCTAATTTTGAAAATTGTTGATTTCGTTCTTCAAAATTGTCGATTTCGTTCACCTTCAACATGTCTGAGTCGTCGCATTATACCGGTTTCTTGGAATGTCGGTGCAGAAAAATGGCTGTTATTCGCACATCATGGACGGCTGACAACCCGGGCAGGAGATTTCATTTTTACCTCGAGTACAAGGTACGGTGGTCTGTTAACGACGCAATATTTTTGGGTAGAATTGTATGTGTGTTTCACCGTGAATCATGAAGGGTGTTTATGATATTTTTGGTAGAATTGCTTCTGTGTTTTTTTGTGTTCTGATTCTTGCAATGTTGGGTTTTTTTTTATATTTTTTCTTGTTTCTGAACAATTGGGTTTCTTCTTGTTTCATGGCAGTATTATACATTGTCATGAAGGTCAATTTGGTTAATGTACAACCTTTTTGCTAATGTACAGAATATGAAGGTAGTGAAAAATCAACCTTGTTTCAACCTTTTTTTTTGTTAATATACAGAATGGAGGTTGTAATTTTTTCTTTTGGGTCGACTCTCCTACCTGTGACCTGCCTGAAAAAAGCATGCCTGGGTTATTGAAGAAGATGAAGGCACTGGAGAGAGCAAATGAAAACTTCAAATTTGAGAATACCAAATTGGAGGAGAAGGTTGAAAAACTGGAAGAGAAGATTGAAAAATTGCAGAAAAAGGTTGAAAAATTGCAAGCATTGAACAAGAGGTTGGTTGAAAAGAAAGGAAAAATAGAGATGAAAATGGGGTTTTCATTGGCTATAGCAACTTTGTTGTGTGTATTTTTGCTATATAGAATTAGGTGAAGGCTATGGATTGAAGAAGGTTGTGTAATGTGTTTATTTTCTCTTGTAATCTTCTATGTACTCATGTATTTTGTGTGTACCTTATTTCAGAACATCTATGTAATGCACTTGTGGTTTCAATGAAATTTCCTTTAGTTTGCAGACTTGTCTCCCTTGATTTTGGAACTAGACTATTAAACCTCAAACAAAACTCAACTGCACAACTCAACCATTTCATTGTCAACTAAACTGCATAAAGTGATCACAACTCATCACAACCACTGATATGACTCAAAAGCAATGCATAACTGATCACAACCATCACAACTTAACACAAACAAAGTCAAAAGTAGAACAACAATCATAACTGGTCATAACCATCACAACTTATGTATTCCATTAACTAAACAAAAAAAGAGCACAACACAAGTGTTTTACAACCACAAAACATAACATAAATGACATTGCAATATCCTGCCATTAAGTTTCCAAACAAAATTAACAATATCCCAAAAAAATCTAACAATATCCTGCCATTCAGTTTCCCACCAAAATAAACAAACAAACTCTGCAAGTGTTTTGCAACCAAATCAACTGAAATTCAGTTTCCTACCAAATCAACTGAAATTCACTTCTTTCTAGAATTTTCTCTCTTCTCGTTTTTGATCTACTTCAACTTCTGAGATGAGCTACCCAAAGAGAGGTCATTTTGAATCCTTTCAAACATTTTTGGAGTTCCATCTCTTGCAGTGATGGCCTCCAACTGCTTACCTCTAAAGTATGAATCATCTCCTAATCCCATTTTCAGTTGTTCAAGGGGTGTGGGTCCCTTTGTCATCTCAAGCTGTGGAGTACAAAAATCTTGTGTCAATTGTGACACAAAGCCCACATCATCCCAGTCAGTTTTTTCTACAAATGGAGCAGGTGGTGCCATGCTTGGCCCTTCTTTCTGTTGAAGAAAAAACACAGTCATGGTACCATTTTTTTAACAGTGACCATAACATAAATGAATTACAAAGAAAAATTAACAAAGTCAGTAATACCCCTTTCTCTATGGTGGAGGTGGAGCCTTGTTTCTGTTTAAGAAACAACAAGTTGTTAATCAGACACATTTGTTAATAATGTAATTAAATAAAATAAAAAGAAAAATGAATAAAGTACCACCTGCTTATCAATGCTTAAACCTTGTTTCTGTTTCTTTGCTTTCCTTTCTTTTTCTTTGGCCTTTTTTGCAGTAGCCTTAGCTGCTTTCTCCTGTCTTGCAGCATTAGCCCTCTTAATTTGCAACTGCAAAAGTATGGAAACATAAATAAGCCCTCTTAATTTGTAACAATAAATAACAAAACTGAAAATTAAGACATATTTTACATAAAAGTTGTAATTTTGCTTACAATTGACCGGCTTGCTTTAACCAGTGGGCTCTGATCCTTCTTGGCATAAGAAAGGATTTTCTTGCCACAAGATCTGGCATTGTGACCCACATTGCCACATTTTCCATATTTCAAACTTGTCTGTTGCCTCTTCATATTCATTTGAATCTTTGCCTTCATTTTCTGTCTTTTCTCTCATTTCTCATCAGGATCAATCCTCCTTGCATTCTTAGGTCTACCTGCACCTCTCCCAAATGTGGGAGGCAAAGGTGGAATGAAATGGGTTTGGTTCCACAGCATCTGACAGTTAATACCTAGGATGGCTGGTTTGTAAACTCTTTTATATGTTTCCATACTGTAGTAGTCATGCACATAATCAACTGCATTGCCCTTTTGAGATACAATTACACTACATGCATGCTTGCATGGTATCCCACTCAAGTCCCACAACCTACATGTGCAAGTTTTCTTTTCCAAGTTACCACATACTGACCTCCACCATAACACTCTATTTGATAGTGAGTGTTGTCACTTTTCATAGGCATGCAGTCACCTAACTTTGCCATATTAGCCTTCACTGTCTTAATGATCTTTGGACACACATTGCCTTTCCATCTCAACTCTGCCCTATCCCTGTTTTTTTGAAGCCTTTTCACTAAGTACATTCTGATCCATTCAAGCATAATCACTATGGGTTCCTCTCTAGCATCAACAATGCATGCATTAAGACTCTCACACAAGTTATTCAACAAGATGTCACACTTTGGTTTTTCCTCAAACTGTGATTTTGACCAATGTGCAGGGTTCTTCATTGAACCTGTCTTCAGCTTCTTCATATATTTCTCTCATTTATCTCATTCTAAAATGGAACTCACCCACAGTAGCTGCCTGTGCAGCACCCCACGAAGCATTTTTAAATGCAACCCCTCTGTAACCAGCATTTTTAAAGTTACTGTGCAGATGTCTAACACAAAATCTATGTGTTGAGTCAGGAAAAACATTCTGAAAAGCCACAATCAACCCTTTCTATTTATCACTAATGAAACTACAATCACTATCATGCACAGTGCCAAGATCATGTTTCAATTGAATCAAAAACCACTCCCAAGTATTCCTAGCTTCTCTACCAACCACAACATAAGCTAAGGGATATATGTTGTTGTTAGGATCAACACCTACAGCAATAAGAAGAATACCCTTGTGGGGTCCAAACAAATGACAGCCATCAACCCTTATTATTGGCCTAAGACCACTCCTAAAACATTCCTTCAGTACAGCAAAACAAACATAGAATTTGGAGAACCTAGGAACACCATCATCTTCTTCAACATCTAGAATCACAGTTGAACCAGGATTTGTATCCCTCAGTTGTTGGGCATAATCCCACAACTTTTCATACTGTGAATCTGGATTTCCCTCAAGTACCTCTAGAGCTCTCTTCTTAGCCCTATAAGTCTGGTGCCTGAAAATCCCAACCACCAACTCATGAACCACTTCCCTTCTAAATCCCTTTACTTTTCTTGAGGGATCAGCCTGAATTTTGCTCAAGTACCTCTCAGACAACTGCTTACTTTTAGTATTTTTAAGATGAAAAGATATAGGGCATGTATGAGTGGGGTAGTAAGTGGTTATCTTGAAGGCTTCCTGGTCAGGAATCTTCAGGGCATGAATTTTCCACTGACACTCCTCTGAATCACATACTGCATGGACCCTAATCTTATAATTTTTTTTCCAACTTCACACTTCTTTTGGACTTAATAGCATGTGACTGTACAACTTTCTTAGACTCTACTCTAGTACCAAAGACCATTCCTAGTGCAAATGTTGGATCATAGATATTGGTAGGACTAAATAAAATTTCTCTCTTTTCAACTGTTTCAGTATCTGAACAAAACTGATCAAAATCAAGTGGAGTTTTAACCAAATCTTCTTCCCCACTATCAGACTCAAGTTCAATTTCAAACTCCTCAGATTTGTCTACATTGTGATCAAAGTCTGCACCATCCCTCCCACAACTACTTTCTGATCTAAGTTAAAGTCACTGTCTATAGTTTTATTGCCCACATCCCCCCATCACTATCACACCCATCATCACCCCTATCAGGTACCTCAGCACCCTTGCCTTCATTTTTTTCACTACCCTTGCCTTCATTTTTTTTCTCAACCCTCATTATCTGTCTTTTCACTCATTTCACTCTCACTTGTTTCACTGCTCTCTGCTTCACTCTCATTTTTTTTCTCCAATTCTACCCAACCACCTTCATCATACTTAGAAGTAGGCACAAATTGACCTTCATCCATTAGATCAATGTGAATGTCCATCAATCTATTAGTATAGAAACATTTAGCCCAATTACATAAAGTTGCATCATCTTTCAGCAAGTTAAATGTAGTCCCCGAGTTGAAATAATACCTTCTATTTCCTACACAACCAAATAGATCACTAAGACAATCCAATGTATCAACACCCAGTTTTGACTTCTCTAACCAGTCAAAAATCATACTAGAACCCCCTATATAATGGTCAATCGGAGAATGCAAAAATTGATCTCCACACCAAAGTTGGATAGTTAAGTGATCTCTACTTTATATGGAACCAAACCCAAGTCAACCAAACAACAACAAACAGAGAGAAATTAGGAGTTTTCAGATAAGCACACCAATAAGAAATTGATGAATGTAACTGTATTTTGAATGAAATTAGAGGTTTTAACCACATTACAGTCACCTAAATTAGGGTTAGAAAAAAAACCCTAATTTGTCTTCAAAATTAGGGTTTACAAAATAATTCTAATTTATATTCAGAATTAGGGTTTGCAAAAGAACCCAAATTTGTATTCAGAATTAGGGTTTGCAAAAGAACTCTAATTCGTTTTCCAAATTACGGCTTGCAAAAGAAATTAAGATTTGCAAAGAACCCTAATTCCATTACAATGTGCGGAATTTAGATCCTCATTTTATTTTAATTGTATGTTTTAAAATGAACATTACATTGCACGAATTTTTTCCATAAACAAAGAAAGATAATATCACTGATCGTATGTGGGAGGTCCATTGTGCATACGAATCTTCTTCCGGATGAACACCTTCTCATGAATCATTTGGATTCTTGCTTCTCAATACTTGATTTCGAGCTTTCGATTCTTTTGCCTTCGGAATTTTAGAGGAAATTTGAGAATGATGTAGATGGAGGGTTTTTTTCTTCAGAGAGAATTTGGGAACGCGATTGTGGGGAGAAGTGAAGTGACTGTTCATGTTCGTGCCTTTTCATCTGTTTTCCCTCCATTATTTTTTTTTTTCTTTTCATTTCTGCCGCCACGTGTAACTGATGTCGCCAGCGTGTGAAATCCGGCTCCACGTAGGCCGAAAGAGCCGTTAATTTTCATCACGTGCGTGTTTCCGGCGAGTCGGGGACGAATCTGCAACCTATTTTAAAAGTTAGAGGACGAAATTCAAATTAGCTATTCGAAGAGGACTAAATTGTTCAAAGGGGTAAACTTACAGGACGAAAAATGCACTTTTCTCATGAATTTATTACCGATCAGCTTGTTTGTTTAAGTTGGGATTAGATTTAAGTTGGGATTATATCTAAAGAAAAAAGGGAAAAAAAAACTTATATCCCAACTTGAACTTAGTTTTTATTTCTAGAGTTTATTTTCCTTTTATATGATTAATCAAATCTTGACCCATACTAGTCAGAATAAGTTCGAAACAATGTAATCATTGTACTCGATCAATTTAACACCTTAGAGCATCCACAATACTTTGGGTTTAATCACAAAAAATTACATGTCACCTAAGAAATAGACTCAGTTTAAGAAAATATGCTATCCAATGTAAATAAAAGTAGACTAGGTCTTGCTGATGTGGCAGCTAGAAAAATAGACACAGTCTACTCTTAAGTCCATTTTAGACTTAAGTAGAGACCTAGTCTCTTTGCATTGGAGTAATTTTGTTTAATTTTACATAATTTTATCCATGTCATCCAAAATTTGAGTTTATTTACATGCCACATAGGCAAGACTAAACTCAATGCATTGTAAATGCTCTTATGGAATACTGTCTCTACTCGATCAATATAAACTGGTCATACATTCATTCTATTTTGGGTCATTTCAAGTTTAGCTAAAGTTGAACTTTAGCAAGAAAGAGAATCCATTTTATAAAACTACCAAACGCACCAAGGACATTCTTTCAAGTAATAATAATAACTATTCTCTTGTCCGTGTAGAGTTGTGGCCATTAGCCATCCTATCCAAGTGCAAAAAAGGTCCCAATTTTCTTGGATCACCAACCATTCACGAATATATTTTTCTATCCTTTCGGTAGCTGTCTCCATATTTTTGTTTCTTCTTTACTTTGCAATTTTTTTTTTCCATTTTTTTTTTTTCACTCTGATTTTATCCTCAGTTGGTGTTCTCGCATTAAAGCTTCTTTCATGAGAGCGGTGTTCCATTTAATGGAAGCCGCTCTTTCAAATCGCACTATACATTGTTTTTATTCATTAGCAATTTTTTGTGTATTTTAATCAAAAGTAAAAAAGAAAAAGTTGTTACATGCCAAGATATTACATGTTATTCTTGACACATTCTACAATTCTGTGTAATTCC